TCTTCGTTCATGAAGAGACCTATTCTGCTTTAAGACGGAGCCGTCCTTGACCATGGACCATGGCCCTGTCGGATATTGCACAGTTCTGTCGGTTACAATAAATTAACGAAAAGGGGAGACGCGTCTTTCTTAAGAACATATATATTCTTGAAAAGAAAGCTATTCGCCTAGGATACAATAAAAACACGGGTAAATCGACAAATAAAAAATAAAAAAGGCTCTGCAGAGAATAGCTCTTTCCCTCTTAAGAAAGTGCCTTTCACGTGTGAATAAGTAGAGGGATGAAGTGGGAAAAAGTGTGGCCGAGAACAGCCGCCTACCTCGCCAGAAAAGAAAAAGTCGCGTATCCACCAAAGTTTTTGGTGTGATAGCTACTCTCTATGATTCAGTAGCCAACGTTTACGTGGACAAAATATTGTCCGGGTAGTAATTCTATTCATGGTGAATTTAGAACGGCGTCAAAACTAATTGAAATGCGATGGTAAATTATGTAAAAAGTATTGAATGACTCAAAAATTCAGTAAAGGGAAATTCCATGAAACGGCGTTCGATGAATCGGCGTTCGATGAAATGTCCACTTTTTCGATGAAACGGCTTTTGATGAGATGGTGTTCCATGAAATGTCCGGTACCCCCCTGAGACGTGTACGCTTGGGAGAGTGCCAGGTGATCTGTTGACGTTTTCTCTTGTTGTTTCTCTGTTTGTTGTTTCTCTGCACCTGGAATCCTTGCCAAGATTCCAGGAGCAGACGTCTATGCCGGTGTTTTTCCGTGGCCAGAATCTCGCTCTTGTTGGAGGGCACGCCGTGACCCAGACTCGGGCACTCTCCGAAGCGTATACGTCGCAGGGCTTCGTCGCTTCACGGAAAAACACGTGCGCAAGCTTTCGAACCGGGTTCCAGCGCTGGATATTCTTGATGAAGATTATTAGGATGATATAGATGAAGACGACGAAGAAGGTTCGCCCAACTCATATTCACCCATGACCAAGAAACCCAGCTGGTCCCGAAACGTGGGGTATCTTGTTTTTATTCAAACTTGGTTAGAGTTTCAATTTTTTTCAGTCAGTCTATTTATTTTCTTAGCAGACAGATCTCTGTCGATTATGTTTACATTCAAATGCATCATAATGTATTCACGCCAGATGTACCAGAAATGTAAAATCGTTCTTTTTTTTTCTTTTTTTTTTTTTTTTTGTTTGCTTGTTTTACTGAATAGCCATGTTTCGAAATTTAGTACTGCGACTGTGTATCTTGGAGTTCGATTCACCGCCGATTTCAGATGGAGCAAGCAAGCAGCTCTTCTGCGTTTCAAGGCTAGCGACATGGTGCAGCTTTTGCGTGTTATATGAGAAAGATTTCACCCGATTTGAAAGAGACCCCTTACTTTTTCTACGTCCTGCCAATTTTAGACTCATCTTGTACTGTATGGGGCCCCCGAAAATCTTCTTAAATCAGACAGGAATGATTGAGAACCTGCAGGGCCCACGATATGCTTCAAAATAACTACAGCGTGTCCTCCCCAAACAATTTACAAGGTGTGTTTCACCGCAAAAATAAAATGCGAGTCGCCCAAAGCTCACTTTCTACCCCGATGTAGCGCTAGCAGTCTGAGCCAGATGCCAAGGTTTAAGTCCTAACCCTTGTCTTGATCAGAAGGTACGAGAGATTTGCTGAACATTTCAATGGGAAACTGGAGTCCACTTTCGGCCGTTTTCGATAACTGGCGCCTACAGCTTTACGTATTCAAAAGCTCTCTCTGAAACCATTTTCCTACTGAAAATTTAAGAGACTCTAATAACTTTTGAATAAAATAACGATTAGTTCTGAAACTTTGGTGTCTGGTTGAAACCACCTGCGCTACATTCTGGCAAAGAATGAGTTCTTGACGAAGCGTAATTTAACTTTTCGGTAAAACAAACAAAACAAATATATATATATATATATATATATATATATATATATATATATATATATATATATATATATATATATATACATATATATATATCAACTTTAATTTTTTCTATTATATATTTTACATTTTTTGTTATTTTTAAGATAAAATCTGCGAAATTTAGCTCTTATTTGGCTAGAAAACTTCACAACTAAAGCGAAAATTATTTCATCTGAAATCCCTGTATAATGTTCAGTGTGGTACGACCGGCATTAATAATTCTAAGTATATCCTCGCAGCCTATATTAACTTTCACATAGAGTCAATAATAATAAAACGATCCGAGAACTGACCTGCAAAATACTCGTTTGTTTCACTGGCCATTCACCATTGGATTGTGCCGCCCTATTGATTAGTACCGATTTACCCCGCTCGTTGTTTTTTGATGAATTAACGTCGTTGTCGTGTTTCTTTGGGGGAATTCTGTTTATGGACGATGTTTTTCCTCTGTGCGCTTTATGTATACTTCCTTTCAGCTTAAGTCCAGACGAAGCCAACGCTACCCGGAAAGGGGACCAATCAAACAGCGTGAAAAGCGCAAGTCACTGAGTCTGTTTTGTTTATGATTGGCTCAGCGATGATAGAACACGTACAGGAACATGACGAACACCATGATGGAGCACTTTCTGATGCTGTCTCATTGATCCCATCATCTCGTCTAGCGTCAGCTGCGCCTGGAGTTCAGACCCAGCCGACGCTAGACGAGATCATGGGACGAATCAGGCCGCGTCAACCGCTCAGCATCATGGTGTTCCTCGTGTTTCTTTACGTGTTCTATCATAGCGGAACCAATCACTCACAGAAATGGCCTAGCAACTCGCGCTTTTAACTCTGCTTGATTGGTCCCATTCCCTCGTACAGAGTCGGCTGTCTCCGGACTTGAAGGCTGACGGCCAGACTCGAGATTCTGCCAGGCGGAAGATCCTCCATACCATAGGGGAGGAGGAAACAGGCAACGGTGGACAGGTAGAAGGGGGAGACGAGGAATCGGGAAGAAAAGTGGAAAGCGCGAACTGGTCGTCGGTCTTTAAAGGATCTGTGCAACGATTTTAACGATGAAATTATTTGTATCTTCTACTTTTGACATTGTTCATCGTGTCACAAAGGATAGAAAACACGCTTCCTTCCTTCGAAATATTACGATTCCGCCGTTTAATCGCGAGGCAAGAATTAGAATATTCCCCGACCTGCAGTCGCGAGCTGCGGCCAAGAGAACCACGCGGCATGACGTGAATGGGGGAGGGGGAGGGGGGGGGGGGGGTCTTGTAGAAGGATGGCAAGTTGTGCGATACCTGCTCAATAAAAGGTAACTTTTATATAAATCTTGTCGTTCCAACATAAATATAAATGCGTTAAAAACCTGGTATCCTCGACAAAAATTTTATTATACGGAGTTTTAGCGGCGCCATCTATCCTAGGTCCTCAAAACCGTCAGCTCTATCTGCTACTGCGAACAGCCGCCAGAAGCCGGAGGGGGACGGGGGCAGCGCCGGATGGGGATTGCCGGACCCGGTTGAGACTTTCCTCCTTTCACCATATTGTTCGTGCTGAGCCAGCACGTGGTCACGCAGATGCGAGCGGATGAGTTCTCGCCGCTCACTGATGGCTCTACAGAGAGCTTCACCGGAACTCCGCGCGACCCCCATTGACCTCACAGCGCACGTGACTCGGAAGATGGTGTAGGAGTTGAGAGGTGCCGAAAACCTCAATCTTTGTCCATTTTTAAAGTAAAAAACAGCACATGCAAGCAAAAACGTTTTTTTGCTCTCTACTTCAGAGAAATCCAGACATTTAGTCCCAAATTATTTAAGCAAAGCACTGAAATTGTTGCACAGCTCCTTTAAGCTGAAACGAGGTATATAGGTACGAAATATGCAATAACTATAATAAAAAAACTGCATCATCCATCGTCCCGGCAGTCGTCGTTTTTGTGCATTTCCTACCACAAAAGCGCAGTGACAATATACTTTTGGTAGTAGGTGATTGACTCCACCGGATCACAGCGTTGGCTCCGGCCGGACTTAAAATGGCACGAAGTGTACGCGGCCAGCAAGTGTTTCAAAATGCGCCTTTGGTGCACCGGAACGCGAGCAGAAGCACGCCAATCAGACGGCAACGCGGAGAAGTTGCGGGGGACCCGGAATGACGAGGCGGCCAGGCGCTCACCGTCATTGGCTGAGGTAGGGGTGAAACAGGGGCTCGTGGGCGCCTTTAGGGGGTAAACCAATGTACGAGGTGACCGAGGAGCAGGCGGACTTGCATGCCGTATAGCCAACCGGCAACGGCCAGGCGGCGCCAGCAGAGTGAGAGCGCACGGTTATACCCTGTCTCGTTGTAACTTGGCAAACGGCGAACGATAAGCCCCACATTGCGTGCCGAAGGCTTCGAAATGCGCGACGTATACGAGCGCAACGCACACATATTGCAGCATGACGCAGCGAAAAGCCTGATACTTCTCCAGAGTTGAGGCGCGCTCCGGTGATAGGCAGTCACGTTCCGATTGGCCCGCCAGGGCCGTAGCTTCCGCTCTACTGGCACGTTATGCGATCACGGCTTCCTGGGATACCCAGTATTTCTTGCTTCGGACACTAGGCTCAGCGGCGCCACCAGAGTAATAGCTCACGTTCGAACAATGCAGCTGCCACTCCCAGGGGTACCCAATATTTCTTGCTTCAGTCGCTAGATGGCGCCAAACCAAACAGCATTGCAGGTTGCCTATAGACTCGTGCGAGGGCTGCACAGAAAAGTTGGCAGGGAATGCGGAGCGCAAGTTCGTCCGCTTGTTTTGCGGGGGTTGTGTTGCCGTTAGACAGTAGCTCTGATTGGCTCTGAAGGAAGAGTAGGGGGTAGACCTCATGGCAGCTTGCTTTGAGGTCTACACACTATTTCTCAATCATAACCAATCAGAGCTCGGCGTCTGTCTGACGCCACCGAAACTCCAGCAAAAGAAGCAGACGACTTGCTCTCCGCATAGTGTTCGACACGTTGTCTATACCTTCGCAAGCGTTGCGAGCAACAACGTTAAGCAAAAATGCCGGAACTCACAAAATCGGAGACTTCTGTTGCTCCGTCTAGGTGTGGATAAAGGGAAAGTCATTCAACACGAGTCGCGTCCCGCCGTTATGTGGATCCAACACAAAGACGACTGGGAGCGCCTCTGAGCTCCCCTTATCGTTGCAGGTGATAAAGTGCTGCCATACAAGCAGACTCACGTCTTGATTATGAAGAGCGCCTAGTCGCTCCCTTCGTCTGTATGACGCCTTGGAGAGAGCGAAAGATGCGTGTGGATGTGTTGTGTAGTCTGTGCGCTCGGCCGCCAAGATCTGAGACGGCGGAAGTTATTTGAGTCGCTCCGAAGCAAGCGACAGAACAACTAAAATAGCTTTCGAGGTTAATGGTTCTCGAGCGAGTCGCCGGAAGGAATGGCAAAGGAAAGATTTTAAAAGTAAAGTCGAAGTGTGTACTTGGTATTTTCATAAAAACAGAAAAGAAATTAACATTATAATTAGGATGACGAAAAATATTTCGGGTCCTATTGGAACGATGGCCACTAAGCTTATATTTTTCTAGCGAGCATTTACGAGAGAAAAACAACAAAATGAGTCACGTAACGAGAGACGCGAGAAGCAGGCCTTGCGCCAAGATTTTTAACGACTCCGCTAATGCATTACCGTACTATGATGATCTCAGTCCCCGTAAAGTTGTAAGAAATACTGTAGATAACCAGTATCTCCACTTCAAATGCTTTCAATGGCAAAACAAAACAAGTGATCTGTTATTGCACAGACTATATAGGTAATAAAGCACCAAAGACCTTCGTCTTCCTAGCCCTCTAATGTGTAAATTCGGTATTTTGATGAGCAATAGTTGAGTAGTGTAATATGGGGAAATATGCGACGCGAACCAAAATGCGACAGTTAGTGTTTAGCTCCATTCAACTCCTAGACAAGCAATCGGAGAACGTTCAGACTTCACTGAGGTGCCGTGACCTGTACACATTGTGTGTATAAAAATTGAAAGCTGTGGGCAAGAGTAATTCGAAGAAAACAAGTGCGGAGTAGAGGTTGACGTGTTTACGCCCCCCCCCCCCCCCCCCACTCCAAAAAAAAAAAAAAAAAAAGAAAAAAAAAAAGGCGTAAATTCAGCGCGAAATCTCGCTTCGAGACGTGCACCACGGTTGAGAACGAATGATCTGCCAAGGAAAGCTTTAAATTTATTGGTAGGCTTTATTAGCTCTATGCGGTCCAGATTTGAGCTAGCTGGGCTTGCTTTTTCTTAAATGAATAATTATTTACCCAACGGGATACATGCGGGGCAAAGCGCGACAATCAGGTATTTCATGATTTGCATGTCAATAACGCGCGACTCTTCTGGTTGCTCCTGAGGAACACATAAAAGAAAACAACGAGGAATTCATAGCACAAAAGTGGTGCGAAGAAAGCTCTTAAATATGTCAAAAGACAGCGTCACTCCCGTCGCACTGTTGCCATACCTTTTGGCGTACCAAAGGATGCGCTTCAAAGACGAGCGAAACGACTAAGGGAATGTGAACGTGAAGAGAAGCGTCTCTACAAAAAAAACAGCTGGGCTACAGAGGACGCGTTCTTTCTGACGTTTCAAGTTTCAAGAACATTTCTTCTGTAGCTAACGTTGTATAGAAAAATAGAAGAAGCTGGTCAGAGAGCAGCACTCTTCTAACGTCTTCACCCCACAAGGCAAAGCTGTTCGCGAAAGCAACGAAGCACCGGCGTTCCACTGAACCCCCCCCCCCCCCCCCTTAAAAAAAAGAAAACATTTTGCCGCATATAAAGATTGTTAGTGAAACCCGGAAGAAGTTGCTCAGTGGCGGAGCGTTCTGCAGACCATGCGATGCACACCACAAGAGGCTCTAAGTACCTGGTGCGCAAAGAACTTTGCAGCCAAGTATGGATCATTCAGTATGGATCGAGTACGTGGAATGCAAGGAGTGGGCTCATGAACAGGGCGTCGGCAGTCGCACAGTGCGCTTCAAGTGTTTTTGTTTCAGAAACTGAAGGCATGTGAGGTTTTTGAAGTGTGTATCATTGTACCCCACTACGTTGTCTCATTTTGCACCTCTGGGCGGGGCAAACCGAGACATTGTGTGACTTTCAGACATTGTCGTTTTTTTTTAATGTTTCGCTTGGTCCTGTTAAAAAGTATTTACTGAGTATAAAGTCAAGACACTTAAGGATCTCCCCATATTGTGCTTCTTTAATATTAAAAGGAAAATAAAAAAATACCATTGAAAATACAATGTTTGGTACATTTTTGTCCTGTCTTACCATAAATTTGTTCCGCAGGTATTAAATCGCCGGCGCGGGGAGGGGACGGGGCATATTATTTGCTGAGTTATATTTATATGCACCTCGTGCATCTCTGTACACATCACCGAATTCGATTTACCGGAAGTACATTGTCCTGCACTTTTCTGCACCACGCTCAACGACGTAGAGGCACTAAGAGCGATAAACCGGGGTTCTACTGCGCACATAAAAGTAGCGCCCCTTTCACCCCCCCCCCCCCCCCCCCGGTTGCCGCCATAGAACGCAAATGTGGCTTACGTGACACAACCAAACACATTACGTCACGGTCAAGATGGCAGCGCTCAGGCAGTGCTTGCGCCAGCTTGGACGGTGCTTGTCAGATGTATACGTTGTTTGTTGTTGTTGGTACTACCAAGTTAATTTTACATGCGAGAGCCGTGATCTGAAAAAGCCTGTCGAAAGCGACTTCAAACTTCTGCGTGGTCTCCCACGTAGGTATAACTTAAGTATATGGAGGAATGGTGCGCATTCCGCTGGCGATCGGCGGGATATTGATACGATGAAGACAGAATCGGCCCTGCGTTGCTCCGACCCCGAATCGATTTGGGTACCACAAGGATTACTTTTAACGCGACGTTTTGGTGCTCTCGTTGACCATCAGAATCTCCAAGGTCTGCGGTGAAGCGTGTGCGATATAGATTTGCATACAAAGTTTAGCTACGAAAATTGCGCATGTCGTGCTTGGCAGTCCGCTGTCGAGTTGCCGCCTCGTAAAAAATACCGAAGGCTCACTTCGGTCATGCGGCGCACCGAGGAACTGCTTTGAAGCTGGTAGTTTTCGTGCCATACTAGATGGTCCTGTGCTGCTTTCGAAATTTTTCTGGCGTAGACGTGCACTTCAACAAAGCGCAAGTGTGGCAATTCATTGCCAGAAAAGCGGCCCCACGATCGTTTCTGTTCAGCTCGTCCACGGCAAACGTCGAAACACCGAGGGAGAGGACTTATTTGGACAACATGCCATTCAGATAATGCAGCTTTGTTTACTGGTCAGGGTGAACGCCCTTAAGAAAGTTTTGTTATATTCTCATGGATGCTTGCTCCCAGTCCATTATTTTATCAATTGCGATTCTCCAAAGTTCTAGGCCATGCTTGGATGTCAATGTGTGTTCTGGTGAAGGTGTTGGGTACTGTATCCCATGCCCTTTAGTGGTACACCTCAAGTAGCCGTGAACCAAGTTCGATACTGAGCCCGGCAGAAAAACCGCTGAACGAGCGTGTCCCACTACAAGGGCGATCCCCTCAAGTAGACCGCATAGGACCTAAATCCCGAGCAAGACGCCGCCACCAGGAAGAACCGCCAGAATCCGTGATCCTACTTGAAAACCCGAAGCGGACTAACCAACGATGACCAACCTGCCGCAGCAGACCTTGGCCGGTCTTTGTTTACATGGACGTAGCACCTCGTACTCCGACGCCCTTCCATGGCGAGGTGTACGAAGACATCGAGGACTTTATTGACCAATACAACCGTGTCGCCCGTCACAACAGGTGAACAGACGATTAGTGCCTGCAGCACCTGTACTTCTTGCTGGAAGGAACAGCCAGGCACTGGTTTGAGAACCGCTAATCCTCCTTGACGTCGTGGTAAGTTTGCAAGACTGATCAAATGCGCACCCTCGTTAGCCGACATGAAAAAAAAAAAGAGAACCAAAGGCCAGCTTCAGTTCGCAACACAGGGCCCCAACGAGAGCGTCTCTGCCTTTGTGGAGAATGTTTAGCACCTGAGGACCCGTGCCGACCCTCAGGCTACAGAAGAGAAGAAGCTGAGAATCCTCATGCGGTGCGTGAGGGACAACATCTTCGGCGGCCCTGTCCACAACCATCCGACAATAGTCCAAGGGTTTATCACCGAGGTTTTTAACATCAAGTGTGCATTGCAGGTCCGAGCCGGTCACTATCAACGACTCTCTTGCGTCTCCACACTGCAGTCGTCCAGCTGCAACCTCAACGCCAGCCTCCCAAACATCAGTGACGTCATAAATGACATTGTCCGACAGGAGTTCAAGAAGCTGCAGCCGCCAGTCGCTCGGCTTTTTTTTTTTTTTTTTTTCATCTGATGAACAGAGGGTGACCTGCGCCGCGAGGGCACCGTGACGGCCACCGGCTGCCGTTTGCACCCTACGCCAACTCAGCGAGACGCCCCAACACCGTAGTATTCGTGACGTCAGTAAGAACAAGTGTAGGTCCGCGCTGAACCATGTTTACTAAGTCAGAGGGGCGTGTAGCGAACGGCCCACCGAGGACCACTTTGCCACCACTGCGGTGAGGCCGACCACGTCTACCGGAGGTGCCTATACCTACGAACGTATGGACCTGCAATGGTTCGCGACGCGGAGGACCATCGACCACGTCTCGGGGAGCGATCACGGGACATTGAGGAGTATATTCAGCGGTTTCGGTCCCCGGTACCGATACTATCCCGAAGCTTCCGATCCCCGAAGTGTCCATCGCCTCGACGGGAGGAAACTATTACAGATGCTTATACACTAAGCACGACCAAGCAGGTGAGAGGCAATGCAATGACAATTGATTGGGTGTTGGTTGTCGACCAAGGGTATAATTAATTTTCCTACACCAATTATCTGTGTACACTCCACGAGATAAACTTTGCACACGATTCCCACTTTGAGAGAGGATTTGAAAAAAAAACCCGCCGAAAGCCAAAAAACGGCGGAGCCGTTTTTTGGCTTTCGGCGGGTTCCTGAAAACTTGGATTCTTTAATTCATTGGATTAAGTACGGTTCATTCATCTGCACAATTTCGTTTATATATATATATATATATATATATATATATATATATATATATATATATATATATATCTTGATCAAACCTCACGGTGTGACTGAATTCCTCCTTCGGCGGTTTGACCTGAACCTCTAACATCACAGTAACCTATACCAGGTCATTTTGCGAGAAAAGGGCGGTGGGGGGGGGGGGGCGTTCCTCACAGTTCTGGAGCTCAAAACCACACTGAACTTGAGGGCTTCGAGAACCACCATCGAACGGCGCCTACACGAGCAAGGACTCTACTGCAGAATCGCTGCCTAAAAGCCACGTTTACACGAGCGACACCGCCAAGCCCATTTTGCATTCGCTCACACTCACTTGTCCTGGGGAAATGAAGATTGGAGCCAAGTGATGTTCACAGATGACGTTAGCTTTTGCAGGGCGATAGGATCAACAGCTGCGTGTCTGGCGGCCGGCCTATTGCTGGTAACAATTTCAAACAAAATCGTATATTTACTACCTCAATTCATTAAAGAGTCATTTTATTATGACGTTTTCGTGTGTGTGATGACCATAGTTATAAATATTTGCAGATAGGATGCCAAGTATGTGCAGCAAGCAGCGGCAAGCGGTAGATGCACCGTAAGCCTGTGGGGTGCTGTGCCAAGCGCAGGACTGGGTCCCCTCTACAGGCTGGTATGCATGCAGTTTCAACGCACTACAGTACACGGACATCATTGATCAAGTGTGGCTGCCTTTCCTGCTGGACGGACCTTACTCAGACGACTTGTTTTTTGCTGCAACATGACCGTAGTCCTGTGCACCAGGCTGAGTCTGTGAAAAGACTCCTGGAGCAGCGTGCGATCACCTTGCTCCCAAAGCCACCCGGAAGCGCTGGCTTGAACATAATCCAAAAATGTCTGGAAAATCCTCAAGAAGCGTTTGTCTCGAAGGATTCTAGCCGACTCCTCTATGAGAACCTTGGAGTCAGCCATCAGACACGCAATAAGATCGGCTGCGGCAGACCCAGAACACACTCGTGTGCAATTTGTACGAGTCACTTCCAAGAAGTCTGCAAACTGTGATTGAAACAAATGGTACCTACACGCGACACTAAGCAATTTAGCAGTAAAATGTCGTCGCGTCTCAGCAAGTAAGGAGGCTGATTAAAAAAACAGTTGCATGCTCATTGCTGGTCGCAAGTGGTTAGACAATCCGTACGTGGGCTTAGTTATTTGTTTATGCGACAAAATGGTTCTTCCCTGAATATTTTACACGACCACAAGTTCGTGAGGTGTTCAAATAAACAAGGTTCCGCGATTGCAAATTTCCACATGATTCAACTAAATTGGGTCATCACGAAGTTATTTTGACACGCGTGTCCTCAAATATTTGCAAAACTGTACCACAATTTTACAAATGCGGCAGATGGGAGGTTTCTAACCACGTTAATATTCCCCCTGAAATGAGATAGGTTTATTTTATTTTACAGAAAAGATCAGCATCTCAAATACGATTGAACGAACGTGAATGCTTGGCCGCGAGAAATAGAAACGACGAGTGCGCCGGCGCACCTGCAAACGTATGGGGACACAATCTTCGGACACAGGTCCTAATTAGATTGTCATCAAGTATTTTCGAACAAACTCGTGTTCGACAAAAACAAAGGCGGGACATTCACTAAAAGAGCCTACACCAGTATGTAGAAAACCGCTGAAATGGCGATATAATAGCGAGTTTTAGTAGACCGTGTTTCCCCCTCCGCTAAGAACCTCCGCTATCCAGAACTCTACAGCAAAGGCCATCGGCGCGCAGGCGCAGTGGCGGTTTCTTCTCAGCGGAGGGGGAAACACGGTCTACTGAAACTGGCTAATAACGAAACATTTTGCCCGTACTCAGGCTACGCCTTTGTAAATCCGAGAAATCACCTTGGGCAAGTTGTTGCGTCAACGGGAGATTGTATTGATCGCTTGAAATAGCGACACTGTATGCGATCTATGTTTATAACAGACCATAAACAAATCAAGCAATTAAACAATAAACTGTAGTGAAGAATACATTCGTAATCTCTCCGCCGCTTTACTTCCGCTAATCTAAACGCATAAATGCACTGGGATATTTTCTGGCATCAGTTATATAGGTTACATTTATACGCTCTTCACGATACGCAATCTTAGACGTGCAAACAAAGCGCACAAAACAAAAAACAAAAAACCGGGATTCCGACAATATGAGTTCGTGATTCGCAGAGTCAGGCGCCCTTGACGGCGGCCCTACGTGAAGGCCATTCCTAGTTTCCGAACCGTGGGGAGGGGAATTCCCCGGTCCGAAGATTAGGAATGGCCTTCAGGCTTCACGTGACCGACTAGATGAAACGACTTCCGCCCGGATACCGCCGCTTCGCGAAAGCAGTGTTGCCAGATTGGGCTATATATAGCCAAATTGGGCTATATCTTTTTTTAGTTGGCTTCAAAATTTTGTGGTTGGCTATGTGGCTATTTTTGGGCTATTCCTAAGGGTTCGGCGAACTCTTGTCGAACCTCAGGTTCGACTAGTTAATTTTCGAAATCCTAATCAGTTTTGAAAAAAAAATTGTTTCTCTTTTGGCTAGTCGAGAGGAGAGAGAGGAAGGAGAGTGGTCTCAAACTTCTACAAACTTCGGGGTTTTCACAATGCGCAGAGAAGCAGTGCTAGCAGAGTTCAAGCGGTCTCCCCACAGCGCAGTGGGAGAAATCAAACAAACAGATTGCACTACTACCACAAGCCCGGTAGCGCGTCTTCTACCCGGACGTAGACTGAACTCCCCAAGCGCAGCTTTGGTGCTCATTGTGAAAATTCTTAGGCATCGCCCACTTTAAGGAAAGAAACACAATCAAAAATAGAGTGAACCGGAACGGGGGACGCTCATATTCTACGCAAAGAAAAAATAGACGGGTGGGTTATTGGTAAGAACCTTAGATAGGGGGTACTGGTTTGAAACTCCCAGTTCTGACTGTACTGCTTCTGCATTCTGCTCTTTTACTGTATGGTCATATCTCCCGGGCCTCACAATACAGCTGTTCATGTATGTTTTCTACTTATGAAAACCTACAAAGGATGGATCATTGTTTCACAAATTTTTATCCTTCTAAAGCTTTTTTTTTTTTTTTTTATCAGGGGACTTGATGTACACAAAAAGTGGCGCATCTGAGGGTTGAAAAAGAGAATGTAACGTGTTGTTTTTTTACGCGTATGAAAAATTGTCAATAAAAGGCTTAAAAATCGTTGTTTTTAGTCTTGGCTATTTTGGGCTATATTTATTTTATGGCCTTGGCTATTTGTGGGCTATACCTCCCAGCCGTTTGGCAATTTTTTGGTGGGACCATCTGGCAACACTGTAGCGAAAGTCCAGTTCGAGTGGCGGCGTAAAGTTTTGGGGCACACTGTACTTTTAAAATGAATACCTCATTCACGTTCAAACAAAAGTTTGGCACTGAATATCTGAATGAACTAGTGACCACCTGGAGAAATTCAAGATTTTTCTGGCTTGTAGTGAACTCCTGCCGACATTTTTAACCCACAGGGAAACAAGCGCAATGCCCATCGTGGTGGAAGCGCAAATGTGTATACTCCAAGGAAAGTGCACCACCGATTGTGGCATTGAGAGTTGACCAAATCAGATATTGCTGTAGATACTTTTTCGTGTTTATAAACACGTACATTCTTTTACCTCCAAAAATACTTCCAGCCTCTCCATTTAGGCGGGCATTCCGAGTTTTTTGTTATGTCAAAAATACTGTGATGCTGAAGTGATACGTAAACGAATAAGTTTGAGATTTAGCAAGGTTCTTTTCTTGCGCTACTCATAAAATAGGTGATCGGTCATCTTGCAGGCGTATTGGATAAAAACAGACAAACCTCTCGCTAACTCGTTCTTTAGCTAAGCACCTGGAAAATTGTTGATGGAATATTTTACAGACATTGCGAGGGGCGGTGTTTGATGAGGATTTTTTTTTTTTAATCTGAATTAATGTTTGAGGGGACACAACATGCAACCGTGTCTCCTTGCGGCCCTTCTATGGGAACAGGTCTAAAAGGAACTAGGAGGAACTGTCAAAATGGACAAGTTTATTACAGAAATATGAATGCGGCTGCCGCGACTTGCACTGGTATACTGGATCACTAAAGTGACAGAGATTCTGACACATATATGCATAGAAATGCTCACAGCTGGACGATGCTACCTAGGTCAGGCAGATACTGGCGCCATGATATGAGCTGTATAATTGTCACGACCGAACTAACCATAAGTTATAGCACCAATGCTTATTTTGAAATCAGGTCGTTGTAGTGACCGCTTCTTTTCCCGATTCAACTGGCACTTGGACCTTTCTTCTACGTTGCGCTATTTTCTTTATAAAAAATCTTGCCTCCCAAATGAGCAGGTAGACGAGAGATACAATTGCCATGATGAGCATAACCCCATCGTAGGATCCATGCTTGTCTCGAAAGTATCCTGCAAAAACGGGAATAGGATCATTTGTAATATTTTCACTTAATAGTCCAGGTGAACTCGTGTCTTGGAAGGCCTGCCGCGCGAACTCTTTTAAGAATGCTCAAACATTATCGAGGCTCCAGTGGCTGTTCAATTTTTATCGTCACTACCCACCTGAGCAGCTGTCACTAAGACTCATTTCAGCGTCAAATGTGTTCGTTCAGGGACAAAAGGAAGAATCAAGCGTGACTGATACCACAGTAAGAAAAAAATTTAGTAAACAGTCTTGTTTTCTTTTCTTTCTTTTTTTGCGTTTGATAATAAGTTTGCCAAATAAATGACCGGGCAGAGCTATTTATTTTATTTCACTGAGAATTGCTACTACCGGCGGGAACTTGGAAATCGTTTGCCGTACAAGTGGAAAATAGGGAGAGAAATCAGACAGCCGCTGATATGCCGCTCGTTCATACCATAACCTCGACGACAGCTCAGCTTCCTTCCGTAGGATAGCACTGGACGTCCTCAAAACCAGGCGCGGCGCCGGATTTTTTTTTTTTTTTTTTTTTTTTTTTTTTTTACGAAGTGCGCGGTTGAACACACATCAGTATTGCCCCCCTTATAGGGAAATACACGAAGCTGTATTTTCTCCCAGAATAATTAGTGTACAAATCAAACTCACTTGTGATATGCAGAAGGCACATTTAATATGCCCCTATTTAACCTGAAAGACTACGCAAAAATTCTGAAAAAATTCTGCATCATTCGTTGCTGTTTCACTGTAGACATGGGAGGCGTCTTTTTAGTTTTTCTAGAATAACTTAGAGACATAAAAGCACATCCGATTGGATTCAAACAAACACTCTAAGAAAACAAAGGTATATTCTTGCACCCTTTGTCTCATATTGTGCACCCCAAAACTTTAGTTCGACGTATACAGCGCACTGAAGTCTAACCGACGATACCAACATTCACGAGCGGCTTGATAGCTGAGGGGTACAACTTATTAAAATAGCTAATGTATCTGTTACTCAATACAAAAAAAAGGTTTTCTTGTCTTTACTGCAAAACTTCAGTGTTTTTGTTTTTATTTTGTTGTCTTTGATACGTATTTTAGCTATTTCATAAGTTATATCGCACCGTTATCAACCCCCTTGTAAACGTTGGGGCCGTCTGCTCGACGTCAGTGCGCTGTACGTCAAACAGAAGTTTTCAGGTACACGATATGGAACAAGCGGGTGTAAAACGACACCATTTTTTTTTTCAGAGTGTAGAACCTTTTTTGATACTATCCTACGCTCCTAGACATTTTTCCATGCATACATACTTATATACAATAAACACGATACCTCAGTCACCCGTGTTCCATTAGTAAGTTTTGCGCATGAAAAAAACGGCGTTACGACCAAATAGTCATTCAGACTTAGCTGCAATGGGGCGCCCGTGGCCCACTTTGTTCACTAAATGTTTGTCACAATTGGGTCATGATACCCACCGCCGTTCTCATGGCTATAACCTGTTGAAGGCAACACCACACGGTGGGTTTGTTGAATAACATCAACGATGATTGGCCTTAGGGAAAGAAAGCTTTGAGGTTTCCATGCATGTACTTGCATGTATACCTCACTTTTAGTCTAATCTGCGACTAACACTGACCAGGAGTGAATTCAGTGAGACCGCTAGAGCTTTCAGTCTATCGATAATCCGCAGAAATCTTGACTACAAGGCTTGTTTGTTTTGTATTTGTTTTTGTTTCTAGTGCAATGTATAATACTTTTTTTTTTCAACGCACGTCGTTTAGCGCAATTTTGATTTGTCTGAAATTTTAGTCCACTCAAATTGCGGCTTTTGAACTCTACTCTTTATGTTATAACGGATTGAAACTGGTAGTAAGAAGCAAAACTGAAAGTAAACGTGTACTAAGGCAATACCCGCAACTAAACAAACGAAGCACCGTACATTTTGCGACGGAAGGGCGAATGACTCGAAGCGGAGCACTACTGCTGCTTGTGCGAGCGTTGTGTTCCCGAAGGAAACCTTTGGGAACACAGCAACCAACAATAGTACTGCTGCTCGTGTACTGGAACGCAAGTTCACAGCCTCGAAGAAATTCCAACTTTCCAGATGAACACGTTTTTGTAAAGGAAAAAAAAATTTTCGGTGGGATCCGAAACCCGTACATTTGTGAGGCAGCAGCGAGCGTTGCCAGCTCCGCCACGCACGCACCAATGTGACACGTGTTTCTGCACAGAGCTGCATATTCACAAACTGGATAACTACATGAAATTTAGTTTAAATGAAACGGAGTGGTCTTTTACTTGGTTTTGCGCTGTGACACTTCCGGAGAAAGGAAATGGTCAACGCAGTAAGACATAATTTTGTAGAATTCATACCTGTCCATGTTTGCGCGAGGCGCATAATGATGAATAAATTTTCATGATGCCCACTTTTCTCTCAAACGAAAGTTCAAGAGACGGCCGCTCTCTTGAATGTTATAATGGCTGTAACTACCGATTAAGGACATAAAGGCAGCAACGATGTGCGGCAGACACCTATTAAAGTTTACAGTTGTCATGCATAACTTCTGAAAACGCCATTTGAAACCCTAGAGGCCGTCGCCAAATGTCATCGCAGACTCCAATGGTTTCCCTAAAATGAATGCCATCATATCTGTGAATTACAGCCTATGACGCTTGATATCATCCAAAACATGATACAGCTAACTTCATAAATTAATATTTAAGATAGCCGTAAGGAACCTGCTCACACACTGCCCTGCTTTCATCGGCTCCCACAAAATACGACCCACCAAAATAGATCGCAGTTACCCGAGGAAAGTATATGAAACAAAGACATCTCCGCACTGTCTTAGGTTATCGATCTACTGGTTTCAAAAGTTTGTCGATCAATATTTTCTCCAAGATTGCATTACTCTTTAGTAGTGCTTCTGCCGTTAGGGAAGATTACAAACAGTTACCTGGTTACACTGTAGTATGAATGTGGCATTTCATTTTTTTCCTTATTCAGTTGTTCAGCAGTTAGGGGTACAATACGTCTAAAGATGATTAGATGCAACGTACTGGCATTAAGAAATGAGAGAATAGCCAGCCTATTTGTCTGAAACGTGATCGTTCATTATTTGTTAGACTACTTAAGTACTTACCAACCAGCGGTGCCCTCACCCAGCTGTTGAGAGCGGTTACGACGCCCAAACCACCGATCATAATTGGAAGAGCCTCCACGCCGAAGTCCAAGATGAGCACGATGGTCCCCAAAGACATTCTGAAGCCGATGCTGGCGCCCAGCAGGAACGAAGCGACCACAAGCGCGGGCAAAGCGACGCCGTAAACCATCAACACAAAGCCGATTCCTTGCACAAAAAATCCGAGCCCCATTATGCTATTCACGCTTAGCAAGCCAGCATCCACAATCCAGCCGTTGAGCGCTCGCATGACGACGTCGCCCACGCTGAACGCATGAAAGAGGTAGACGGAGTCTGCGGTCGAAACCCCGCGATCTTTGGCAAGGTCCACCACGAGCATGACGAACAAGGCAAGCGACAGGTAAACCACTCCGAAGGACGTGGAGTCAACCCAGAACCTGAGCGTGAGGAAGTTTTTCGCGGCGTGAAATGAGCTTCTGTCCGTCTTAGCATCTGTAGAGGGAGATTTCTTCGAGGGCTTTGTCGTGCCGTTGTCGCCAGATGTAACGTTGTTAGCTTTGTTATCATTTGTGAGAGAGACATTTTCGTCGGCATGCTGCACGGCCTCTTTGCTTGCAGGTCTTGGCGTGAATCGGTGACGTTGGCGCGTTGGGTCTGCCCACGGAGGGCTGCGAAGAATGATCGCAGCGGGGAAGGCGTTCAGGGAGATGGCACCAAGAAGGAGCAGGGCTCCTCGAAGCCCGAATTCGGCGAGCGAATATTCAATTATTGGTGGAACAAAAAAGGTGTTCAGTCCCGCTACAGTGTAGAATACGCTGAACGCCGTGGCACGTCGCTTCTCGAAGTACTGGGCGATGACCACGTGCAGTCCCACCATGAGGCCGGAAAACGCAATACCTGAAAATATAGAATAAATGTTTGCGACATTTTTCGCATGAACGTAGCGAAATTTCGCACCTTGAGCTGCTATATCGCTGGTTTTGCGTTACAATGAAACAAGATATGCTTCCCTTGAAGGCTTGTTGAAATATGCGCATAAAATAATTTTTCCACTTTTCTGTATAAATGAGATTTAATCACTCCTCTTTTGTATGTGCTAAAGGTAATGCATATCTTTATTGAAATATAGACCTCTTTCGCATAGAATGCTATACCAGCGCGCAAGTGACGAACCCTCGACCCGGTGCATTTTTTGATTGCCCGATGACACAGGGTGTGCAACCGCCAAAGATATGGGCGGAAAGGCTTAGGTACGGACGTCGAGGGGAGCTTGCTCCCAGTGTTCATTTTTATCGTGTTAAAATTTTTAAAAAATCTGCGGTTGTGTGGCTATCACTGCATAGTCGTCGGGTGAACTCTTTTTTGTTTTATTACGCATAAGAGCAGTGGCGGAAAGTGTGTGATGAGCACAAGAAGCTGCAGCGCGCGTATGGCTGCAATGTTATTGAGCTTCACATGTTCCCCGAGGATTTTTATTAATGAAGTCAGTCGATTGCGAGCGTGAGTGAGGTCATACAAATCGTCACGTTTTTTCCCACGACTAACTCGTCTAAGGCAAGTGGACCGATTCCAACCCGGTGCCGGTGCTCTGTTAGGGTATCACTGCAAGGTATAATACAATTACTCCATGACATCCGAAGGGTATGATTACGTTTACGTGCAACCACTCAAGGATTCAAGATGCAGCTATGAAATGTCGAGAGCGTATCTGCATATACTACACCAAACTGCTCATATATTCCTTCGTTGTGGAAACTCAATTGAAATCCACCCTCCCCGTCCGCGTTCTTTTCAGGAGGTATGGTGATGGCCTGTCATTAGTCAGTTCGATTCTACCGGCCAAGTTCCAGTCATACCCAGCATACCCAGCTTAGCCAAGTTCTCCCCCTACCCACATCGTTGCCTACGCAGACAGCTGTGCTGTCACAACCAGCCGGTATTTCAAGTTTTATGCCGCTAGACCCCGCCGGCGCAGGCGTCATTCTCACGATGCTGGCGCCCTTAAAAAAGGCTGAAGGCACACCTAAGCAATTCTTATGAGTTGTGAACACGGTAGCATGCTTGTCGTTCTTCCGCGTCGGCCGTTTTTGCGACGGCCGATAGCGCGGTCTCCCACCTCCCTTCCCGCTCTGACCTTGGACGCTCCGTGTTACCGGGGCGCTCGCCGCACGGAAAAGCAGCGCCATGGGGTGGCGGTCGTTGAAACTGACGCGCAGCGGCCAATGGGAGCCTCGTCGACGCGCATCAGCCAATGGGACCGAAGCTTTGAGATCGGGGATAATAGGTGCCGTTGTCTAGGCTTTTCGCGTGGTTTCATAGCTGGGGGCTGGCTTCACTTGGAGAAAGGATTTAAGGTGTCGTTTGACGCTGCTTCAAAGCTGATGACGTCGGCTCGCTCCGTGGGACAGTTAATGCTTTCGCATTAAAAATGGCTGTTAGACATAGTTAGCGTCGACTGCGGTAGGACGCTACCAAACTGCCATGCTACATTGCATAGCTCTTAAGATTGTTGGCAAGCGTACCTACAACGCCCATACAATACTCCTAGAATTATCAACAAATAATGTGTTCAAGGGCTGGGGTCGAGGAAAACGCCACGGAAACCATTACGAAAGGCGTAAAATGTACCTAGATGGTAACCTGTACAAAATAGCGGATCATTCCTGAGGAATAGTTCTTAATTGAAAAGAAGGAACAAAGCTCTAAACGCGACGAGACTGGAATCAAACTCAGAATCCCGTGATTATTAGTGCGACAATTTACAACTGCTCCAAATGACAGACTTGAGAGAATGAAACAACCTGTCTACTGACTGCTCGAACGCGAATGCCAAACGCCAGCGTCCGGCGTCCGCGTTCGTACAGTGAGTCGAGACACAAACGGTTAGCTTTGCCTTCGTATACTAATCATTGCAACGAGAACTCAGCGCTCTGACGCTGCCGTGCGCTCTCATCTGAACGAATGTGAACAAACTGGCCCAATTAGCCGTTTTGTTGTGCATGGCTTCTTTACCCCTACTATAAAGGCCCGTTCACACTCTTGCGACCGAGTACGACCGAGAGAGACCAGAGCGATTTTTAAGCCTCTTGCGACTTCTTAGGACCAGCTCCGCTGCATCGCATCCGGTCCTAAGAAGTCGCAAAAGGCTTAAAAACCGGTCTGGTCTCTCTCGGTCGAAGTCGGTCGCAAGAGTGTGAACGGGCCTTGGAGGTACATTTTTCGTGCTTTGATTAAACAGTGGAGAAGAAAGCGAAGCCTATTTTTTTGCAAGAAAGTCAACCATTTCTTTTCTGTTGAATCGAATGTTCCAATAACAAGGTTCTGGCAGGTGCCATTCATGCGCTTAATTTTTGTTTCCTTTCCAAGGCGACGAACCCGCGCGTTCAGGACTGTGGAGGTCGAGCGCTGAGCTCCGGATTTCTGAGTCATCTAGCGTGCGCGCGCTTCTCTTCCAAGTACACCACTGTAGCATCCGAGAATGAGACATGTACCTCTAGGTGTGTGCAGAGGTCGGCATTTTTGGTCGCCCTCACTCATCCTCACCCTCACAGCCACACTCACCTAAGCCCCTCACTCACCCTCACCCTCACAGCCACACTCACCTCAGCCCCTCACTCACCCTCACCCTCACAGCTACACTCACCTTCAACCCCTCACTCACCCTCACCCTCACAGTCACACTCACCTTCAGCACTTCACTCACCCTCACTGAACCTCACGGCCCTCACGCACTCACCACCCTCACGGCCCTCATGCCCCTCACGGCCCTCACGCCCCTCATGCCCCTCACCACCCTCACGGCCCTCACGCCCCTCACTCACTCATGGCCCTCACGCCACTCACCGCCCTCACCGCCCTCACGGCCGTCACGCACTCACAGCCCTCACCGTCCTCACCGCCCTCACCACCCTCACGGCCCTCACGGCCCTCACGCACTCATAGCCCTCACGCCACTCACCGCCCTCACGGCCCTCACGGCCCTCACCGCCCTCACGGCCCTCACGCCACTCACCGCCCTCACGCCACTCATGGCCCTCACGCCACTCATGGCCCTCACGCCACTCAGGCCAGCTTCAAATGCGGCAATATCGCCCAGAAACTTTACGTCGCAACACCAGCAACACGCGCCGCCCGTGATCACACGCAGCAACCAATTGCTGCAATTTGCCATCGTCATCATAAAATTTTATTCTTCTTGCACTATTTAGACACAATTACGCGTTATAAACGTGTTTTTATGCATTTAAATATCGTTAAGAATACTAATGCACGCTTCTGAAACAGTTTATTTAAAAAAAACGATCGATTTCAAACGAGATCCAAGTCTTTCGGTGTCATCCTCACCGGCACGAGGTATCACGTGAAAATTTTGCGTCCCTGATTAGATGCAGCCGCTTCAAACGCATTCGAATTGCTCCGAGTTGCTTGCTTATTTCGAGCCGGACCCGATCTCAGCAATTCATGTCGATCTAGGGAAAGCTAAAGAACAACCCGCCATTAACACCAAAATTGCTGAGAAAGATGCTCGATCTGAAGGGGGCCTCACGCACTCATCGCCCTCACGGCCCTCACAACACCTCATGCATGTCACCGCCCTCACGGCCCTCACGCCTCTCATGCCACTCACTGCCCTCATGCACTCATGGCCCTCACACCCCTCACGCACTCACCGCCCTCACACCACTCACGCACTCATGGCCCTCACGCCACTCACCGCTCTCACGCCCCTCACGCCCCTCACGCACTTATGACCCTCATACCCCTTACCGCCCTCACCGCCCTCATGGCCCTCATGGCCCTCACGACCCTCACGGCCCTCACCGCCCTCACGGCCCTCACGGCCCTCACCGCCCTCACGGCCCTCACGGCCCTCACCTCCCTCACGGCCCTCACGGCCCTCACCGCCCTCACGGCCCTCACCGCCCTCACAGCCCTCACGGCCCTCACCGCCCTCACGGCCCTCACGGCCCTCACTCACCCTCACACTCATGAATTTTCCTGGTTCAGAAACTCACTCACCCTCACCTCACCTTTGAAGATGAGGGTGAGTGAGGGTGAGTGAGGGCCCTCATGAGTGAGGTTTGCCGAGGTATGGGTGTGTGCGGTTCATGTTAGAGCCATTAAATGAACTTTGTCAATAGAGTATCCACACTCCATTCGCCTATTGTATCGTTGGCGCCGCCATTTTGTTCTCCAGCTCAGAGCGGGCGCAATTGACTACATTTCTGGAGGACGGAAAAGGGTTTTCTGCGATTTTATATTAATAGTCAAACAATAATCAAAAGTAATATTTTAGCAAAGGATGGCTGAACTGTCGTTACTCTGAAACTTAGCATTTTTAAGTAGCTCTAGTTAATTGAACAGATGCCACTTGCTGACTTGGGAAAATAAATAGAATCCAAAGACACGAATACGGAAAACACGAATATTACACGCGAGTGTCTTGTGTGGCCTTCACTTGTATCTTTTGTGTGCTATTTATTTTACACAAAACTATAGATAGTTCAAATTTCGCCAAGAGTACCTGAGTCCATTGTTAACACCTCACAACTGTTAGCTGCCCGGTCTAATCTATATACTCCCAGAAGTGTTGGCTCTACGGAAAAGAGCCCAAAAGAAATAGGCTGAATCCAATTTCATGGAGCGCAGTGCGCTTCATATTAAAGTCGGTGTTTCCAAGGTAAAATCTTCAGGCAATGTAAGTTCAATTACACAGATACAACTATGCTTATTGTAACAATCGTAGGGGCAGCGGATTACGCATCGCGAATATGGGCGCAATGCCTGAGACTTACCATTAACAGCGCCGTAGAAGCCAGTGATGAAGGCCACGTTGGGTGCAAAATAGCACAAAGCGATCGCCACGGGGCCAAGAAATGAGCATCCGAGGAGCACAGCACGAGAGGAGGAACGTCGGCAAATGAAGCCAAACAGTAGATCTGAAATAAAAGCATACACTTCTGTAAACCGGAAAGTAAAAATCTAGGGTAGTAAGAAGATCTCATTTCTTAAGTTCTCGTTAAACAACCACAGCAGTTAGTACCAAAGTTTCTATAAAATATGGCGCACTACGTGCTCTTTGCAATTATCACAATTGCAATTTTTAGGAAGCTAATGGCGACGCAGAGCAGCAGGATCAACCTAGAAGGACATTTTGGTTCCGCAGAACGTGCTCCGTCGCGCGTGTTGATTTTCTTTTCTTGTAACAAAGAACTATGAAGGGGCTTTGTACCGAATTAGATTATTATTCTAGAACTTCCCGAGAAGGTGCTCAGCTGGTTATCGCCGTGCATTAAAAAAAAAAAAAAAAAAAAAAAAGGTGCCGAAATTGTTGTTGTTGCTACGCTGAATCTCGACGAAATGCGTCAGCAATTAGCGCGAAAGTTCTGAGTCAGCCAAGGATGGGAATTCCAACCTCGCAATAGTGCGCATATTCTTGTCTTCGGGGACCTGATCTGTCCTCCCGGATGTCGGCGGTTTCGGATGCAGCCACCACAAATTCCCTCGATCGCCGCCTACGCTGTTATCTTCGAAGAGTCAGTCTTTCCTCAAGGGTGTTGGGGGTTTCGCGCAAACGGCGTCGACGCTGCGACTAGGCTTTACGTTTTCGCGTACGCTGTGCCATCGCCACGGCCGCTCGATCGCCTCCTCTCCCGCACCCGCGGCGCGTCATAGGAAACGTGCCAACCCCCAGAAGACTTTTTCCCCCTTTGTAAGAGAGGAAGGGGACGAAACGAGCGAACGAACGAACGAAGCGAAAGCACATGGCGCAAACGTCGCCGCGGCCTCACGAAACAAGTCCAGTTCAGTTCAGTCCAATCCAAACCACGCCCGTCAAAAAGAAAGACGGCTGGATACACAAGGGCAATAAATACTGACATATCACAAAAAAAAATTATGGCGAATTGCTCGGCAATTCGCGACTCCAGCGACCTACAGGGGGCGCCACCACTAAACAAACATGGCGGCTGAGTCCAGGTCGCGTCGGCTCGGCCGGGCCGCCTGAGTAGGCGGCGCGTTCAATTTAACAGATTTTCTTTTGTTTAATGCCCAATTTTATAGGTATTTTAACTGATACGGTTAAGTGTAGCCGGTGCACTTAAACTTGCAGAGCATAGTTTTGTTTTCCAAGTGTGTTTTTTGTTCTTTTCATGTCAAACTTTCGTTTCGGAGATTTCATTCGAAGCCAAAACTATGGGCTCTGGAGAGACGGTAATATACTAATCAGTTTTGACCATGTAAGGAAAGCGGCAATGACTGCAGAATTCTCCCACCAACAGTAATTTTCAGCCAACTCGCACGCCTCGACCATGCGACTTATCTGTCCGCGAACTCGAGCTTTTGTGCGTATCCGCGTTTAAGAAACAGCTTCAGTCGTCTGCTCGGTCAACAACACAGGCTGTAGAAAAATTACGAAAATTAAGCAAGCGCTTCTTGAGCCAAGGAGCATGTTAACCCGCTGGCGCCCCACTAAGCAGCTGATAGTTGTATTTCAATTCAGGTTTCAGTAGCAATCGAGAAGTCATTTTGACGAGCGGGTTATGTGTTATATCACGTACTATGTCCCACTAAAGCGGTATTAGTATATTCTTCGGTTTGAAATATGAGCTTAGGTAACTAGCTATTAGGTGAACTGATGAATAAAAGTATATTTGACAGACAAAGAGATACTAAGTTAAACCTAGCCCAATGGTTCTAGCCGGTAGCACGGAGACGAATGCGGACAAACTGAAGAGAGTCTTCATTGGAGATTCACGCAGAACCCCTCTGCACTGAACTTGACTTTGAGTCCTGAACGGAAAAAATTAGTATTTTTTGGCCGGTCAACCTGAGCCATGTAGACGTATACTGCTGCTGGCTTAATTCGACGGGGGTATAATATGAATATTGGAGGCGCGATATATCATAATGCTGTGACAGCTTCTGACGTTGCGAGACGGGCGTCCACCTTTGGAAAACAGATAATTTCCCTCATTCATCATTTGCAGAGAGCAGGTTTTCCTGAATCAAGTACTTGCGAAATCAGCCCAACTCCTTTAGAGTGGTCCAGATGCTTTTTCGGCGAAAAGCAGCCAAGATGACTAGCCAACGCACCGACCGGCGTGTGTGGCTCAAACTTGAAGCTAGTCGAACACAACCAAACTCAAGAAAAGCAGCTATCGAACTTTCCCATTCACTTGACTGCAGCATTGGTGTTCCCTCCAGCGAAATGCCTCGTCTGTCGTCCTCAGTCCACTGTTCTACGTCCTCGTAAAGAAACCCCTTATCAGTTACCAAGTAGTCGTCACTTTGAATGTGATTCGAGACAGACAAGAAATCAAAACGTGTTTCTGCGATTCCTCCGCATCAAAGAAATTGAAAACACGTAATGGAAGGAAACAATCTACCGAGGCTTCGCCACACTAATGAACACTCAGGCAACCTTAAGAAATTTTCGGACCTTCGTGAAATTACACTGTTCGCCACCGCGCCGACAACACGTGTCCGCGAAAGCCACCAGAGACGCGGAGGGGCGCGGAGCGACCTGGACCGGCTGGTTCCCGGTTTTCCCGCAACGTTCTAGCATAACAAACGTTTAGCAATACCCTGAGCGTCCAGACACTAGACGACTACGTTCACGGCGCTCTTCATCAGATATTTCAACGCGCACCATGTGTTCACGTGATAGCTGTTTCTAGAATAAAGCGATAATACCGCCAATCGGGCTGATAAACCTGGCGATCTTCTAGAGCCTTTTTACTCTCGAGCTCCTCTCCCTTAGTGCGCACAGGTGGTCGGGCTCCTCCTCGCCTACCCCTCTGGTCACATGACCTCCCCGTGAACAAATCAGCGTCTGGCCCCTCACTCCTCTCCCACCCATCAACCAATCAGTGTCGATCCTTGCGGCTACGCTTTTACCTGGCTTACACGAAATGCCGAACACATAGCCAAAGAACATCTCACGTTAAAACCTGTCTTGCCATGGTTGGATTGACATGCCAACCACGGCAGACAGAATAGACGTGACCGGTGGTCAGTATTGCCACACGCAAACCTCTCTCACTAAGTTCGCTCGTCGCCGTTCTATCACCGAGCATTTCTTACCTTCGTGTACTCTATTGAGAAGACGAGAACAAGTGTAAAAGTGGCAACTGACCTCACAAGTATATCCAACATGGTCGTTTTACTGTGAGGGTAACACCCAACCGTACCTAAAATAAACAAAGCCTGTGAATGGTCGTTTCTACCTCCACACACTATCAATCACGCTAGGATGACGCCAAATCAGTAACTGTACAGCAACCCATCGCCCACCGTCCTTCAACGTACTGACCATGGACACGAAGGCCAGCTGAACTCTCACGCTGCACTCGTGTCTGCTCTAGATGTCACTGATGACGACAAAATACTAAGTTCACGTGCTTTGTTTGTTCTAGGCAGCGTTGGTGTAGGCGGGAGGTTCGCAATTAAAACGAATACATGCGTTAAACTAAAGCTTCGTTCAAAATAACTTTAGAGCATATCTATGGATAGATGTAATAGACACGACTGGCATAGTATGGGCGCACCGTGCATTCACGAGGGCGCCCATCAAACCACTCTGGCTTAGGGGCCGCGAGGCGGCTATGTAGCTGCCTCGCCTCAGACACGATCACACGGTCGTGTCGCCGCGGGGTCGATCGGGATCTCGAATTCGGCTCCCGACGTGCCGCTTTCTCTCCTAGCTACTGGATGGCGCTGCAGGCGCCCCATGGCGGGCGAGGAGAAACCTCCTCGCCCATCGATCGAGATATACTCGGTGGACCAGGGGGCGAAGAGCCTCTTAGGACTCCGGGAGGGCTCAGATAGGCAAGTGCGAGCAACTGCTTTCGGGCAATAGCGGGACATGAGGCCTGGGGGCCCTTGTCACGTTCGCCCGGTCCGACACGCGAAATGATTGAGACAAGACCAGGTGAGACAAAGGCATGTACATACGTAATAATATAATGAAAGGAAATCAGGAGGCAGTTATCAACAATAAAGAAAGAAAAGGAAAAGTTCAAAGCAGACTGGAGTCCCCGTGGTCAAGTCCCCACAAAAGCTCGACTCACGCCTGACGTGGCGGGGCTTCAGGAGCGTGGCGGGGCTCGTCGTGGCCTCAGGAATCGAAGCGTTGCCGGGTTCTTCGTGGCTTGAGGAACTGTAGCGTTTCTGGGCTCTCAGGAACCGGAGCGGGGCCGGTTACGGTTAGACTTCAGGAGCCGGAGCGTGGCCGGGTTCTCGGGAACCGGAGCGGGGCCGGTTTCGGTGAGGCTTCAGAAGCCGGAGCGTGGCCGGGGTCTCAGGAACCGGAGCCGGGCCGGTTTCTGTGAAGCTTCAGTAGCCGGAGCGTTGCCGGCTTCAACAAGCGACGGGTCAGAACTCCCGCACCTGCCCGTCGTTTCTCGCGATCCTCTTCCTCTCTTCTTTTTCTTCTTTTCTTCCCAGCTCCACACCCGTGACAATGCCCCCCAACTTTGAGAAGTTCATCGTTGAACTTCTTCTACACCGTCAATCTTGAAGTTCATTGCTAAAGTCTCGGACTGACGGTAATTCCTGCCGGCACTTGCGCAGCACTTACTCTTGGCCTGGGCGATCTCGAGCCTTGGCAAAGACCGCATCCGTTCTCGTAGCACTCGCAAGCGCAGCACCAGTCTACACTCTTGACCGCCCCCGATGTAACACAGCTCCTTCATTTCACGCTCGCGCGCAAAGTACCAAAAAAAATCATGCGTGAAGAACTTCGAAATAAAACTCAATTCACATTAAATTGCGTCCCTTTTTCCCCCCTCAAAAAAAGGAACCATGTTTGCACTTCGAAACCAGTAACTCGATCACCGTATTACCCCATGCGCTATCGAGCAAAAGAAAAAAATAGGCACGAGGGCATTCTAAGTCTAAATTCCTTATTTACATCCGACTTAAGTAGTCTGCACCTACA